TATTTGTTTTTTATACCTTCAGTCTTCCATCTCTGTCTCTGTTTCTTATGTAACTAATAATAAAGTTACTCTATATTTTGTTTCTATATACTCTATTATACATTGCGTACATACAGATTAGAAGTTACGAGTATATACAAAAGTATGTACTTACTGGCAATTTGAGTAAGATGTATGATGCAGCTCCACTTTAGACATTAAATGAGGAACACTTTATAATACTGCACATTTCAGTAACCAGAAAGTTGCTGAGTTGGCAATAAAGCCCACAACTTCAGCCCTCAGAATGTGATAACTTGCTCTGTGGTCAGTGCTGTCCCACACAGAAGCTTGACCAAAATTACAAAATATTTTTGAGATAATATATTGTCACGTGTTTCGTGTATAACGCGACAAATAACTTCACGCCATATTTGATATAGCGAATTTTATTTCACATTCGCACTTACAATCACACAACTTACAGATTCACAATTACTGCTACCTGCAGTATCACAAATACTACACTGCAAATGCTGCTGGCTCACTCGGAACTCTCCGCTGGCTAGATGGAGAACTGTTGATCACACACTAACTCGTAGGCTTGCTCAGAACTGACTCGGAACTCTCTCGGAACTAACTTGTAGGTAGCTGCCTTGAGAACTGTTGATAACACACTGACTCGTAGGCTTGCTCAGAACTGACTCGGAACTAACTTGTAGGTAGCTGCCTTGAGAACTGTTGATAACACACTGACACTCACTTGCTGCTCAGCCGGCTTTTATTCCGTTCACTGTTGCTAGGGTCGTCTATCACAACCACTGTTTATCCGCGTTGCATAGCGACCAGTGCACTGGGATTCGGCTCGCTTCGGCTCAACTCGAACCCCGCTCGGCACGTCACCGCCGCCTGGGTGGGAGTGGTGTCCTGCGTAGCGCGACAAGTAGTAACGAGAGCGCCACGTTACCGCCACGTGCTGCTGGTGAGGTAGGGGTCCTCCGTTGCGCAACATGTCACAATATACACCCATGGACCCAGCCTGTGGAGTGGGCATAATGAAAAGTAAGGGGAGTATGGCTAGAAGTAGCAGGACAGTGGTTGCAGTTGCATTGTGGGATGGGGGAAGTGTGTTTCACTGTGACTAAGATCTTGTTATAATGCATACACACCCTGCATTCCTTACCACAGTGGACCTGCCAGAATCCACTGCATGCTCCATTGAGGGCAGGCAGGAATAAAGGCACAGACAGTATCTTGTATGCATTCTTTGATTTGCATCAACGGTCAGGAAATAGTTGGCTACTAGCTGCATGGATTTGGTTTGTTTCTGGCAGGTGCACTTGAATATTTTTCTTTATCACTATGTCCAGGATAACTGTGGTGTCACCAGACTGAATCTGTGAATCTTCATGGTGTGTTCAAATAGGAGAATTCTTTCATCTAATTGTACTATTTCATATCATGTGGAAATTCATGCTGATGTCACTGGATTTACTGGGACACATTCAATGTACCCAATCTTCATAGAGAGGGCGAGTTTGATAAACTGTCTCCAAATTATTCGTGCGTGTCCGTTTGTGTGTGAATGGAAATCCTGTAATGACAAAGTGTGATTTGAGGTTCTTACAGTGGTGACTGTGAGCACTTTTGACTTCGTGCGATGTGATACCATGGGGTGATGTAGATTGTTACAGGTGTTTTGGTGTTCCTGCTGTCTCCATTGTCAGATTAGAAGAGTGCAGTAAGTGTGAAAAAAATGGTACAGGCATAAGGAGAGGGAGGATCACTATTCTTTACACTGTTTGGATCAGTGGGATCCTTAGTCTTGGCCATTTTCTCTGTATACAGGTATATGTACTGTTTGTTTGCACACATGGCCTGCTCTTCTATCCTGACTGTGGAGGAAGCAGGTCTCTCAGAAATGGTGACGATATGCAAGACTGCACAGTGTTATGTCCCAGAAGAAAGTAATGTGGGAACATCCCACATTATCACGCATTCTGCAACGCTCGCTCTTCACATCACTTTTCACCATCGCGCGCGCTAACCAACCAGATTGCTTCAAACGTTTATATTTATATTGGGATCGCTGCTAGCATGCATCTACGTCATTACGCACGCTAGCCAATCAATTCTTCCTCCTCACTTTCGAGTTTCGCTCCTCCCCACCGAGCAGTGTATAAAAAGGAGCAGCTTCGAACCGCTAACATCAGTCCGACTGCAGTCTACGATCAAGCCACACAGCAAGCAACTTCAGCCAGCAGGCTTCGTCGCCAGCGCTCGGTCTTCGGAGACATCGGCAGGCTGTGCCAGGCATGACTGTCTCGGCCCTCCGGCGCTCTCACACCCGACTCACTGGGGCACCGCACCTGGACTCGCCGGTGGTCGTGTTACGGTCCGACCCACTGGACATCTGGCGTAGCCACTGCCTCATGGCTCCTACAACCGCGCTCAGCGACTAGGCTCTCACCAGCCATTCCCGTAACTAGCCTTTCTCCTTACTGGCGCGCGCCGCGCTACCTCTCCGATCAAGCATCTGAGCAGCCACGGTCCTTTTCAGGGCCAACAGACTGTTCCGAAGAAG